CACTGGAGATCGGTCTGCCCTCTGAAGTGGAGGCCCCAGAGCTCAGACCCATTCTACCAGTTAGTCCAACAGGAAAGAGAGGGCCCGAGGCATACTCTGCCTTCTCCCTCTGGCCAGACTGTCATCTCCATGGAGGAGCCCTGGGTAATCATGGCTATGGAGGAACAAGAAAACAGTTTGTTGCTAGACACAGGTGCAAGTCTCTCGGTCCTTCTTTTCAGTCCTGGCCTCCTTCCAGCCGTCACACCTGAGTGACAGGAGTCACTGGTGAGGAGGTAATATGCTATTTTTCACAACCCTTGGGCTGTAACTACTTGTTAGATCTTTCTTGCATATCTCTGTCTTCCTGAGAAACCACTTTGAAGATACTGACATGTGTTACAGCAGCCATTGATATTTTCCTACTAATCTGTCCATAACTCTGTAATGTTTGTATTGTTCCTATGCTATTTCATAAAATGGATGTATGTTTATTACTATGTGTTTCCTACAACAACCATTGAGAATAGTCAGTGAATATTCAATTGGTCACTCATGTGTAGCTCTATTTATTTTCTTTAGAAACCACTTTGAAGATACCAAAGTATAGTATAACAACCATTGATAATAACCTACCACTTTTGTCTGCAGCTCACTATTATTTGTCTGTTTTCCTGAGAACTATCTTGTAGATAGCAATATGTAAAACAACAACCGTTGGTAATTTCCTATCACTTTGTCTGTAATTCGGTAAGCCCCCTATTTCTATGTTATCCTTCTTCTACTCTTTAAAATTAAAAAAAAATTAAATCTATAAATAACTGCTGCCTTCAGAAGTGAAACCCTCTGGTAGATTCTGGGGAGATGCTTGACTGTCCTGCAGAGCAGCCCAAATGCAGGTAGTGTCCCATCCCCTCCTTCTCTCTCTGGCGCTAAAGCTCCTCAGAAGGGGCTGGGATCAGCAAACTCCAGGCCAGAGAAGATGCAAGATTGGGAGAGAAAATCAGCACTGAATATCCCCGAGTTCTGGAGAGCCCGATGGAAGTTCCCTGAGCCGGACATACGAGAGGTCTCTCAGTTGAATGGCTTGGCCTAAGTCAATCTGGACCCCAGGGATTTCCTGACCCCCAGAGGTGTAGGGAATTATGTCTGCTCGCCCATGGTGCTGAAACCACCCCCCAGGGTCTCAAGGACTCATAAACTGTCAGTCCTGAAGGAGGCCCTGGCGGTGACCACGTCCCTTCCATTTGCACACACTGACAGAAATGGACGGCAGAGCCACCAGGACCTCCAAGGTCATCTTGCCACTAAACACTGAGTTCAGAGTTATTTACCTCAATTGTAAAACACAAAAAAGACCCTTACAACCACTGTGCACACGCCTGGGAATCTCCTTCACCCCCGTCTTTTCATTCTGGGCCTTTGTGGCAGGGGCGTGGGGGGTGGGCGTGCAGACAGTGGAGCGGCGCACGTCCCGGTGCTGAGCGCAGTCTGCTGCTGCTGGTCTGCCCTTCTGCTCCCGGCCCAGTGCGAGGCCGGCAGCCATCTGCTTCGCCTGCCAAGTTCCTCACTGGTTTGCGTCGCGGGCAGGCGGAGCTGAGTGAGTCCTGTCACCTGCTGGCTGCTTATCTGAGTGAGTCCTTTCACCTGCTGGCACATGATTTGTGGAGACCTTCCCAGAGGAGCCAGGGCTTCCCCTCTCAGCCCCTGCAGGGGAGGATCGCAGCTCCACGTGCCAAGTCCGCTCCAGTCTCACCCTTTACTGTCCATTTAGAACAGCAAGAATCTGTGCTTGGTGGTCGCCGGGGGCCGCTGAGCAGGACAGGCGGCAAAGGCCTGTGGAAAGCAGGGAGGGTGTGTCTCACGTTGCTCACCCTTGGCCCCTCAAGTCACCCATGCAGTCCAGCTCCTGGGCTCTACCTTCCCCATCCCACCCTTTTTAAGCAACCAGATCTCTGGTCTGGAGAACATGGTAGGTTCCCATAGCAATGGGCCTTTTACCTGTTTCCATGGCAACCAACACCCAGACCGCTTGGTTGCTAGTCAACTGACAGCTGTTAAGTGAATCGGTTTAGAAGCTGAAGGATGGGCCCAGGGATTCTCTCCAGAGAAAAAGACCCAGCCACCCGAATGGCTCAACTCCTCTGAAGACGTTTAGGCGGTGTCTGTGGAGGCACTGTCCGTCCGTCCACTCCCATCCCCAACACACACGTGCAAACTGCAGCGGGCTGGCCCAGCTCAGTAACGCACATTGGCCTTAATCCTTCTGTCTCCTTCCAAGCGCCTCGGACATCACTTGTTAATGTGACTCTTACCTGAGCAGCTTCGTCTCACGCAGCTCTCCTCCCAGCAGACGCTCTTCCGGCGACCATGGCTTCGTCCTCTACAACCAGTCACTGCAGAGTAATTTGCTTTTTGGATTAAAGTGAATGGCTAATCCAAAATGATCTTAACTTCACTGACCTCATCTATTTTAAGCGCCTCTCCTATGCCTGCGGGAATTCTCAGAGCCCAGCCTGCTTTATGAACCTTTGCAAAGCACAATCAGGATCATTCTGTTTCTTAAAAAAAAAGAAAATACTGGTGAGATTTCAAAACCAAGCGTGTAGGACTCGAAATTACTCCACGCTTGCTGCTTTTTATTGCATGAGGATTGGACTGCCAGCCCGCACATTTAACCCCCTCCCGCGCTGATCTGAGGTGTTGTGTTCCCTTTATTTTGTAAGTGCGTCTCAGTTTATTATTATTATTATTTTTTAAATTATTAGTGTAGCATTCCTATACATCACAGTTACACTTGTCTTGGGAGCCTGGTACAAGTCTAGCATATTTTTGCTGTTTTGATTTACAACAATTGGAGTCTGACGTTTGTCTGCCTTGCATTCCTGTAACGGTTGGGTCTAAGCCTCCAAGGCACGCCTAGAGGGGTAGAAAAGCCACGTTGGAAGGCGCGTGATCCTCCCTGCATACCCAAGATTCAGTGCGTCTCACCACTGCTCGTGAACTTTTTGTAGAAGACGACCTTTCAAATTAAACCCCCACAGGGAGCCCTACCTAGCTCACTGCGGCTGGGTTAGCTCCCCCTTCTGTTCTGATGGAAGGCAGGCTCTACAGCAACTGAAGTGCTTTGCTTGGTCTTTTAACACATGAGGGAAGAGGAGTATAAAATGCAGGCTTGGTAGCTGTTAGCCCCAAAGGAGTTTAAAAATGTGAAGCATTCTCTGTGATTAGGGAGTCCACAAATACATATGAGAGCTGAGCTTTTCTAGACCTTCAGAAAGTTCCTGTGCACCGAAGATAGCCTTTTTCTTT